TAACTAGTTAGTTCTCTGGATACAGAGCCTTGTTGGAAATTTTTATGTCATTTCTTCATATGGATGTACTCTGCAAAATTGTGTTTGGAACGCATCAATGCCTAATGAGCTTTTCTGTAAATTTTGTTAGTATTTCTTATTAAATTTGGGCCACAGCGCCATCAGTTACCTGGAAGACAGTGGTATGCCACCTTGGGATTTGGGGTTTACCATCATGTAAAAGTGAATCCTAAAAATAAATAAATAAATAAATAAATAAAAAAGTGAATCCTAACCAGCATGCAAAGATTCTACTGAGTGTAATGGAGAGTGATTTGTATAGCCCAAAGTAAAAAGCTGAGCAAGGTGTATAAAATTCAGGCCTCAAATTCCCACTTTTGGTGATGGCATCTTAATCAAACTGGCCTGGACATAGTGATGTTCATTTCTGTATTGTGGGGCAATTGTATTGCCCTGAAGCTCTCCTTAGTCCTGTCTCACTGTATTAAACCTAGTGATCAGAGTGGAGTCAAAAAAATTAGGACTAAATCAAGTTGACTAGGGAGTTTGCATCTCCCCAGATCACTAGGTCTTGGATGAGCTTGAATCTGGATCTCTTAGTTTTAATTTGAGTGGAATCTTGGTTTCTTTACCAAAACTCAAACTTTCTGGCCTGGCTGAGTGGCATGTTGGTTAAGAGCTGGCTTGTGATGCCAGCTCTGAGCAGCAGGGCTTGGATTTGGATCCCACATGAGGGCCAGTGACACTTCGCCCTCTACAACTAAGACAGTGAACAACAGCTCGACCTGGATCTGGGCTGCTGTGAGTCGCCAGCAATGGCGTAGGCTGAAGCCTCTGCTGCAGTGGGCTGCCACGAGCTACCGGGAGTGGCTGGCAGCTGGTGTGAGTTGCCAGCGGCTGGCATAAGCCACCGTGAGCTGCCGTGAGCAGCTGTCCAATGGCCGGCAAGTGACCTGCCTCACCTGGAAAGAACGCAATGCTAATACCAACAAGGGCCAGTGAAGCAACGTCCTCCAGAACTAGACTGAAGAACAAGGACAGCAACTTGTCTGTTCCCCTTCCCCCAATTCCCCAGCGCTGTTCCCATCCCCCAATTCTCCAATAAAATCTTTAAAAAAAAAAAAAAAGGAAAATTCAAACTTTCTAATGCAGTTTTCATTAGACCAGAAGTTTGGACCAAATATCTGCATTATCACCCCTTTCAGCAACCCTTGCCAAGATTGTTGACCTTGGCAGGCACACCTCCAGCCTTCAATCCTTCCCATCTGTGGGTTCCAAATATAACCCTCCTCCTCCCTTGTGTTTCTTGCCATTAGCCGATGGCACAGATCTTGAAACACTGTGATGCCATCCATCAAAGGAACCAAATGCTAGACATCAGGGTTTCAGCATGAACGATAGGATCCCTGCCCTCTAACTGGAACTACACAGACTAATAGCGAATCAGAGATTATGGTCTAAGGGAGGGAACAATTCATAGGTAGTTATAATGCAGATAATAAAAGGCTACTATTGGGGAAGCACAAGGAAATATGAGAGCACCCAACCTGGACTTGCGGGGTAGGAAGGAAAGCTTCTCAAAGATTTCCCCTTTGTGACTCTGGACATAGCCCTGTCCCAGCGCTTATCACATGAGACATGGACCATCTCTTATTGCCTGTTTTCCCCACTACGCTGACGCTTCCCCAAGAATTAACCCTTAGTCATCTTTAGATCCTTGGCACACTGCTTGGCACATTGTGTACCTATATAAGTGTTTGTTGAATGGAACATCTTTTATTTCCTTCATCTCTTTGTTTTTTAATAACAGCTTTATTGAGACATATTTCACATGCCACAAAATTCACACATCCAAAACATACCAAATACGTCCCATACAAAACAATGATTTTTCATTCGATGGCTTTTTTTCTTTTTAAGTTAGGTTGTTTATTTAAGATCTTTCTTTTTTAAAATTGGGGAATTGGGGAAGGGGAATAGTGTTGGGGAATTGAGGAGGGGGGACCAACCAAGTTGTTGTCCTTCAATCTTAGTTGTGGAGGGCGCCAGTCTCCATCTGGCTGCCCAACGGCAATTTGTGGCCCCTAAGCTCAAGTTGCTATGTTCAATCTTAGTTGTGGGTGGGCGTAGCCACCATCCCATGCAGGAGTCGAACCAGCAGGCTTGTTGTTAAGAGCACACGCTGTATCCACTGAGCCATCCGGGAGGCAGCTCAGCTCAAGGTGCTGAGTTCAGTCTTAGTTGCGGGTAGGCATAGCCCACCATTGAACAGGCAGTCTTGTTGTTGGGAGCACATGCTCTCACCAGATGAGCCATCCTGCCACCTGCTGGCAGCTCAGCTCGGGCGCAGCTCACTGGCCCATGTGGGAATCAAACCGGCAGCCCTGTTGCTCAGCGCTCACACTCTTAAGCTAACTCTTAACCAACTGAGCCACTCGGCTGGCCCTCAATGGTTTTTCATGTATTCACAGAGTTGTGCAGCCATCGATGCTATACAATTGCAGATCATTTTCATTACCCTAAAAGAAACTTTGTACTCTTCAGCAGTCACTCCTCATCCTCCCCTCCCTCCAGGCCTTAGCAAACACTAATCTACTTTCTGTGTCTATGATTGCCTATTCTACATATTTCATATAAATGGAATCATACAATTTGTGGCCTTTCATGTCTGGCTTATTTCATTTACCATAATGTTTTCAGGATTCATCCATATTGTAGCATGTAACAGCACTTGATTCCTTTTTATGGCTGAATACTATTCTGTTGTATGACTATATCACATTTTGTTTATCCATTCATCATTGGCTGGACATTTGGGTTGTTTCCACCTTTTGGATATTATGAATAATGCTGCTTTGAGCATTCATGTACAAGTTTTTTGTATGAACATATGTTTTTCGTTCTCTTGGGTATAAACCAAGGACTGGAATTGCTGGGTTATATGTAACTTTATGTGTAACCTTTTGAGGAACTGCCAACAGTTTTCCAAAGCACATTTTAAATTCCGACCAGCAGTATATGAGGGTTCCAATTGCTCTATATTCTCACCATCATTTGTTATTTTCTGTCATTTTTATTATAACCATCCTAGAGGGTGTTAAGTGGTGTCTCATTGTGTTTTGGGTTTGCATTTCCTTGCAATGGTGTTGAGCATATTTCGTGTTCTTTCCTTCATTTTCACCTTTTTTTTCTCTCATTGAGAAATGACCAGAACTGGAAATACAAGACTCGGTTGCTTACACATATGTTTCTCAAAGGAAGAAACCATTTATTATTTGTCTTTATATTCTCAGCAACAAGCACAGTGCTAAGCACATAGTAGATGTTAAATAATGTTTTCTGAATTCATCAATAAATGAATTTTTGAATGAACATATAAATCATTACAGGCCCCTTTTTTTCCTGCCCAGATTCCTCCCAGAATTCCAGGGGTTTTTTTAAATGTCTGATGAGAGTTTTAAAACTCTTGAAGTGAACTCAACAGATGACTCATGGTTTCCATGATGCAGAAGTAAACCAAGAAAAGCTGTGATATTTAAAAAGATAATTCTATACATGACCAAATCTCACTATGAAGTCATTTATCTCTCTCCCAAGAAGGGACATTTTTCTGAAATAAAGCCTAAGCAAAGTAATTTCTAAGAAATTGTGAAAAGGCTTCATGTTTTTCTGTTTTCTTTCTGGCTTTATTTTCTGAAAAGTAAGCTTTCAGTGACCTAGTTTAGCCAAAGATCCATGAAAATGTCATGGTAAAACATATAGTGAGTGACCTGTCATTTCAACCTGGCTAATCTTTATTGAAACCGATAAGAGTTTATTGAGTCAAAGAACTTCATAAGGGACTATGACTAGGAATAAGAATGACTTTGTTTTCTCAGCTTCTCCATTCTTCACATCCCGACAAATCAGACCTTGTTTGGATTTGGTGATCTTATTAAAACACATGCTTCTGTGGTACACTGTTGAGACACATGAAACGGAATTTGCTCTTCTGAATCAGTTTCTTGTGTTTGGGCATCATCTACAAGTGAAGGGAAAGAGGCAAAGACAGGTGGGCGGTAGTCTGGTTTTGTTTTTAAACGTTAGCTTCCTGGGTCAAGGAATTTGAACTAACAGTGCACTAGAAAGAGAGTTGCCATGGTTGGATTTTCTTTCTTTCTTAATAAATCGAACCTCTATTATTTCACACTACCTCGCATTATTGGGTTGCATATTATAATAATATCACAAGTTTACTGGAGTTTTTTTTAGGTGGCCTTATTCATTCTACTTAGAATAAACTGCGTATTTAAAAAAAAAAAAAAAGACCAGCATGACTTACAGTGGAGGACTAGACCTCAGAAGATCTAGGTTTTAGTCTCTGCTATTAATTTCAAGGGTGACCCTCGGGAAGGCCAAGCTCCTGAAGGCCTGTTCACCTCATGAGTACTTGGTGATCTCCCAAGACCTTTCTGGCTATAGTTTTCTGAATTTACTTACATGGTGCCTTGATTCCAAAGTAGATCGAGCCTCCTAAGAACAAGGTCTGAAATGAACCTCATGAAAGAAATTGTGTTGTTGGGCACCCCGAGCCCTGCAGGTGTCTCAAATCCTGGCTCATCTGCCTGATTCCTTGGCTCCAACCGCCTTCAGGTCTGTTCCCACCTGCACAGCAAAAGTGTTCACACCTATTTCTAAGGCTTTCTGAGATCCTGGGCCTAATATTAGCACTGGACATGTGAGATAAGATACTAAATATGTACCTGGGGAAGTATATTCAGTCAGGGAAAATTTTTTTTAATTTTTTCTTGTTAAATGTTTTATTTACCTTGTATATTTTAAAGGAAATGGTCGTGAGATGTGAACCCTAATGCAAAAATTATATTAGAATGTATAAAACAATTCAGCCTTGCCTCCTTCCTCACCCACCTTATCTCCCGCCCTCTCCTTATCCTCCTCCTAGCTATGGTGTCTTTGAGTTTAACATGACATCTCATATTCCTCTTTTTCCTCCTTCACAGGGTACATCCCCAGTTACTTAGACAAGGACGAGCTATGTGTGGTGTGTGGTGACAAAGCTACCGGGTATCACTACCGCTGCATCACATGCGAAGGCTGCAAGGTAATTGCACCGGGGACACTGAGCTCAGAGCTCAGCCAGCTCCAGTCCCCTCCCAGGATCCCACCAGAATGCAACATTAAGTTTAAGTTCAAATTAAAACCCAATTCCAACATTCGTGGCCTGTGATCATACAGGTGTCTGGTTGTCCTCTTCATTTTTTGTCATGTTCAAGAACTAAATTTTTTTTTCCAAATCAAAAATAATGAAATTAAATCTGGGGAGAGTGTGATGTCTGTTTTTTTACATAGGGAGATAATTAATAAAATAAAGAGAAATTAATAGAATTCTCACTTTGCGTTTTCAAATAAATAGATATTTTATAACATGTTATCATCCCAAGAAATAACCATTTCTCCTCCTGTTCTATCCCCAGTATTTGAAAAGACAGAGTTCACTCTACCCCAGACTGTCTGCCACTGATAACCTGAGTGAATATGTTCACTTTTAAGGGGTTCATTAGGGAAAACCTTTGAGACTACTTAGAGTCAATTATGCTCTGAAATTATCCAAATGGCTTTCTGCACAGCCCAGAGTCAGTAAGTAAATGCTGGTCATTTATCAGCTAATTTTATGCTCTGCAAACCCATCTTCAGAAGATACTTGACGAAAATGCACCAGTGATCAACAGTCAGTTCATTTCCCAAAAGTGAGCCTAAATTTGCCTACTTTCAACCTTCATCATCAAAATTTAGATGAGCTTTCTGGAAAATAGCTTTTGGTCCAACAACCTAGCCTAGAAAATAAAGTCTACTCTAAATGTAGATAAAGCCTAACCCAGTGCTATACACAGTGTTCAACTAATGTTTTATAAATAAGGAAGTGCATGAGTCAGGGAAAGACTTTTTAAATTTTTCCTTGTTAAATGTTTTATTTGCCTTTTACATTTAAAACTAAATTATCACAAGATGTAAGCCCTAAAGCAAAAAATTGTATTAAAATTTATAAAATCAATTCAGTCTTCTCTCCATCACTCAACTTACCTCCTCTCCCCCATTTCCCCTCCTCCTAACCTTTTACCCTAAACCCCAAAAATCAACGCATTAGCTCAGTTTCAAACTAAAGTGCCCCATTTCTCTAGTGGAATTATTTTCCATGCAAATTCCCTACTTTTTGTGCATGAAATTAAGAAACACTTAGCAGAAGCCCGCTAAAAGCAGAAGCTTGCTTAAAAGCCTGCTAAAAGATGATACACCCATTGGAAAGCAGTCATTTGTAAGGTCCCAAGGCCTTATATCTGCAAGACTGACTTTTGGAATGTGAGGTAATATGTTTTTATTCATCAGACCCTTTTGATCTGGAATTTTTAACCTTTTACAAAGATTGGGCTAAGGCTTGCTATTACATCTATGAAAATAATGTCTTAAGAAGTTTAACGGAACCAATTACAAATAAATCTTGGCTACCTATTAATTGAGGGACTTGTAGACTCTCTCTTTAGAGCATTGTTTTATTGGCTTGATTTGAAAGTAGTAAAACTGCATTGCTTTAAATACATTCTCTCATTCCAAAAGCTCAGTAATTCAAGTGGGCCTTTTTTCTAAATTAACCCCAATTCATAAGGCTTTACCAACCTGATTATGCAACACTGAGATTCTTTCACATCAATTTCTACTGGTAAATTTTGAATTCTGGGAAAAACTATAATGAAAATTCTATTCAATACTCAACTCCCCGAATGACTCTAAGGACTGAATGTGCCCTGCAGAGAGGACTTAATTGACTTAAACAAAAGGAGAATCAAGCATATTAACCCATGTCCCTGCCTTACATATCTTCATGGTGATCAAGAAATCCATAGCCTCTTTTCCCCCAAAACATAGGATGTTTGGGGCCTGCTTCAACAGAGGTTTACTCAAAACAAGAACTCATGGAGCATAAAACTAGATTCCTCAGCCTCTGTGCCTTCGTCTCAGATCAGAACCCTGTTTCTAGGGTTGTCTCAATTATAAAATCAAGAAGAAGCCTTCCTAGTGTCGTTATTCAGATTGTTTAATTGAGGACAAAGTATCTTGGAAAAAGACAAACGACTTTTTTCAAATGAAACACAGTTTTTTAAGTGTGGCCAAAGTTGAAAAAGGTTACGCTTCATGCATTATTTATCAAACCTGCAATTTAAAAATATTGCTGCCCCATACTTGCAATGTGTGTAAGGAGAATCTTCTTTGCCCATACTACCCTGAAGACAGTGGAAATCTTTTGAAGGTGTTTTGTCTGTTGGGATAGGCCAGTTTTTGTGCATCCTTTGTAGAAAGAATGTTGATACTGCTCCACAATAAATCGTTTTTAAAAATAGAGGGCCGGCCAAGTGGCTCATTTGGTTAAGAGCTCGCTCAAGAGTTTGAGCTCTGAGCAACAGCGGTTCGAGTCCCAGCCCGAGCTGAGCAGCCGCTGAGCTGCCAACAGGTGGCAGGATGGCTCAGCTTAAAAATATAGATAGATAGATAGATAGATAGATAGATAGATAGATAGATAGATAAAGAAAGACTGAAAGCTTTTTGAACAGTTGCCCAAATATTGAAGTAGGAGGGTGACACTTAGCTCCATATCACACTGATTAGTGCATCATCTCAGACCACTAAGAAATGCATCCAGTTCTTCTCAAAAGGCAGGGAAACACTTCTGGTGTTGATTTATAAAAGCAAAACCTCCATTCACCAATAAATCGTCAATGGAATATATGTCCTTAATCAGTCCCTGCGACATCCTTTTTGTCACATCACCTCTAAAAACACTTTTTATAAGTAGACTATGTTAAATATTTCCTATCCAAGTTCACTTCCAGAACTTAATTTTTGTCACTTTTTAAAATTAAGGGACCTAGCATCTTTACGTGTACTCAAATAGAGTGGTCCCTCATCACATGTCAAAATATGTTTTTATTATAGCTTCAGGGAGACCAACATCTTAAAAGGGACTTGGTCCATGACATGCCCAAGAAAAGTCATCAGAGATATGCCACAGAAAAGATGGCACAATGAACAGTGGAGTCTGCTACCTCCATACATTTTCAAAATAAGCAAAGTATACATTATTTCATTCATTCCATTTAAAAATTCACAGAGTAGCCTTTTTGGAGAAATGAATGTTACCCCTGTGTCTGGTATATCATACCTCATTCTCTCCTTAATGTTGTCTGACTCTTCAGTATGCTCCCCACCCCCCAGTACATGAGTCAATGTCAGAGTATGGGCGAGAAAAGGGTCTCCCCAAATTCAGATAGAGTCACAACTGTCTCATCCTCATAGCAGCAGCCAGCATTCCCACTGGAGGCCGTGGACTTTGGTATTTCCACCCCTGGGGAAGTTTTGCCTCCTCCAGAAGGAGGTAGGCTACCCAGCCCCTCACTTCCCTGTTAATGCCATATGTCTTCTGCCTGGAATCTTCGGGTTTGTTTTCCCTCCAGGCAGGGGTAACCCTTGAAGGGTGGATTGGACAGAGAGTAACAGGGGTAGAGGAAGGAGATTCACAGGGAAGCTTATTTTTCACACTGTGGAATGCCCTGACATTCAGGCTTTGGCAGGATTTGCCCACCTTGAATAAATACCCAAGGAAACACTGCCAACATGTCCAACAGCTGCCCCATGTGTGATTTAGTGAACCATTCAAACTAGTGGACTCAAGTGTTTGAGGATGCAAGATCCAAATATAATATGACAGTTTCTCTGTTAAAGCTTGAACAACAGAAATGATAATAAGGGTTTTGCACACATGCCCTAAAATCAAGTCCATTAGTTTCAGTTATTGCTGTTATTTTTCTATTTTATTCCTCTGTGCCCAATATAAAATCCTACCTTTGACTTTTTCATTATAAGGACGAGCTCTTGTGTCTGAGTGAGGAATATGCAAGTGGTATGTGTACATAATCAAAGCCAAGGAAAGTGAAATGGGATAATTAAAATTTGGACTTAATCTAGGTCAGCTGGCATTTCAGTCCCACCGCATACAAAACAAAGTTAGAGGTCCCCTTTAAACTTTAGTACAGAACATCCTTCAAATTTGTTTTGCCTTGCTATTCTGCTAAAATGAAGGGGTTTGTTTATTTTTCTCTTTGGGGGTAGGAGGGGACTATTTATAATTTGTTCATCTAAAACATTTAAATGACACAGTAAAATTGGATTCAATTTATATCGTATAAGCAATTACGTGAATTAGATTTGGAGTCCAACTCCTGGGTTCCAGGCAAGTTCCAACATGTACTTACCATGTGATTTGGGGGAAATGATTTAACCTGGCTCAGGCTTAGTTTTTTTAATCCCTACAATGGAGACATTAAGAGTGCCTAATTCCTATGGTTGCAGAAGAGAGAGAAGGATATGGAGTGTGCCTACAGCACTTTGCAGTGTGCCCCTCACAATAAGTGCCATCTACCATTATTAATTCCTATAAAACAGAAGTATAGATGTCAAGACTTAAGCATCATGTCCAAAAAGGTTCTAGTGTAACATACTCTTGAGAATGTCCTACAAGCCACCTATACCTGGAATTAAATAGTATCCTCAGAAAATTTTACAGTGGCACTCTGCCTTAAAATAGGGAGAAACATATTGAACTTTATGGTATATATATCTATGGATACTGGAGAAAAAGAGTGCTATGAAAGGTAAAAAACCCCAATGCAATGAGCTATGGGGAAAAAATTTGGTAGAGAACGTGAAATTTTGTACTCCCCAAGCACTATTATTTCAAGGGCTATCTGAACTGGTCTAGACAATCTGAAGAGTCACAAACAAGAATTAAATGAAATCTCTAGACAGTTACTTCCATTTAATTACTAAATGATTAAATTATGAATGAATAAAGCACTGCAAGTATCTAGCTCTTTTATTCTCCAGTTTAAAGTATAGCAAATCTCTTCATATAATAGATTAATGTAGCCACACAATTATGGCACTCTCTGAAATGAAATAATATAATTTATATTACTCAATGTTTAGAAAAAATATAAACAAACACTAGATTTTTCCCATTAACCTCTTTTCCTTGGAAAAAAAAAGCCAAAAAGTCATTGACTCTGTAGTCCTGTGATATCTCCTTCAGCTGCAATTTAGAATTCTTTAGATTCACTTTGGGCCAGTTGTCCTATACTTGGTTAAGTAGAGCTGCAGGCCCATACACAGGTAAGGTCCAAAACAATCCATCACAGTTACGTGGACGCAAAATCCTGGATTCATTTATTTCTAGAAAATAAGAAACTGTTGTCTTGGGTCTTTTTTCATGTAGGGTTTCTTTAGACGAACCATTCAGAAAAATCTCCATCCATCCTATTCCTGTAAATATGAAGGAAAATGTGTCATAGACAAAGTTACACGAAATCAGTGCCAGGAATGTCGCTTTAAAAAATGCATCTACGTTGGCATGGCAACAGATTGTAAGTACTCTTCTTTGCTTTATATTCAAACGGTGTTGATTGGGGAAGGGTTTGGTTCAAGGAGATCAAGCAGGCAGAAAAGCAATCAAGAACCCATGTGGGCAAAGGGAAGACACCTAGCATTCCCATAGCCATAGCTGGGAATGCTACCTACCCCCCTGGGTCCCCCTTACCAGCGCCTAACTCTCAAGGGGTCCAAATGATGAGTGAGGTTAAATTAGCCTTATCACAGTTGCAAAGCTGTTAGCAATACTCTGATTGCCACGGGGCGTCCAAAGGAGAGGTCTCGTCCATCCATGTTGATAAGACGTACTTTTACACACAACGTTCACATGGCCAGAGCCTCATGGGCGAGTCCTAATATTATTTCAGAAGCAGAGACAGGAATTTATTTTGTGGCTATTTTGGGAGACAGGGCACTGGCAGAAAACATCATGTTCAGAAATTTCTGAAGAATGTGAAGTTGAGTGCTATTGCATGAGTCATCCTGCAGTTGGTTGTTTGTTATATTTTTAGCCTTAAAAACATTCCAAGCTGAAGTTGTCCTATCCAGTTTTTCAAAGTGCCGCAGCATATGGTGGTGAGATTAGCCACTGTTGGGGTCTTTTCTCCCCACACTGGGCAAGGGATTTACACCAGTCACGTCAATTAATCTAATAATAAAGTAAGAATCATGTCATGCCGAATGTGTGGCCTCCCTTTGGCCAGGCATCAGGGTTAATGATTTCTACTGGCATAAACATTTTGCACATCAATGAAGGATTCCAACTTTGAGTTTTAAAAAAAAAAAAGAGAGAGAGAGAGAATAAAGGAAAGAAAAAAAAGAATGCATTGAGGATTTTTCCCCCGTGAAAAATGAAATAATCATGGCTTACATTTATGTGGCAAACAGGGTTCTCTCAGCTAGAACAAAAATATCTGTTGAATGTCCTGGTTTGCCCATTTAAAAAGACGGAATGGGAAGTCTTTAAAAAGGAGGAGAGTTGTGTTCAGGCGTTTGGCTGGAAATCCTGGGTTAATCCCACCGCTGACTGAACATGTTCTTTTAAAGGCTTTTTAACCCTTGCCAACAATATGCCAGAAAAGGATATGTAAAAATGATGGACATAGAATCAAATACTTAGAAGTCTCACTATAAATAACTTTTTAGTCAGTATCCATTTCATTGTTTTATTGAGAAGTTACAGATATGAATGTTTATGAGGTTAAAAACCTTCATGTTAATCTAGACTGGGTGGAAATTAATTTGGAGTGGGCTTGACTTGCTTATGAAGTATTATAAGAGCTCAGGCTTTATAATCACAAAAACTGTCGGGAGTCCAGATCTGTCCCCCGACTAGCTGTGTGACCATCCGATTGAACATCTGATTTCCCTTCTGTGAAAGTATCACCTACTTTGCAGGTTGTTTTTAGGATTAAATTAGATAATGTATGTCAGGTGCAACCATCCGTGGTGGAGTTTGGGAAATGGGGCTGTGAGTATAGCTGCCTTTCTCTTCCTTTAATGAGTGAACTAAAATGAACAAGGTCATTCATATTTCCCACATTTGTCCATGTTCCCCTGACTTTGGTGATTCAATCAAATCTAGATGACCTGGGGTTTTCTTACTCTGTTTGTGGACTAGCTGAGCTCCTTTGGTTCTCTGCCTCCTGCTATGTTTGCTTTTTTTCTTTTCCTACCAGGTCAAAACCTTCATCAAGAAATGGCCCTAGGACAATGATGTTATAGAGCTGGAGTCAGGAGTCTGGGTCTTGCCTGGGCTCTGCCATGAACTTGCTGTGTGGCCTTAGGCAAGTCGTGATCTCTCTGGGTCAACTTCCACCTCTGTGAAAGGAAGGAGTTGGACTAGATAATATCTAAGGTCCCTTCCAGTGCTAAAAGACTGTCACTCGGTGGTGTAAAACCTCAGCCTTTCCATTCCACTGATAATTACTAAGAGTCTGGTGAAATGGTTTTGTTTTGGAAATGACCACGGAAGTATAGGTTTCTTGTTACCTGCGCTTCTTACTTCCCTTTTGCATAAATGATAAAAAAATCATGGCTACATTTACTAAGCACTTGTGGTTTGTTATCACATTGAATACCCTGTGAAGTGGATTATTATTGATCCTATTTTATGTAGGAAGAAATGTAAGCTCAGAGAGCCTAAGTAATTTGCCAGAGGTCACACAGCTAGAATGTGGTAGGGTCAGGATTCAAATGCAGGTCTTTCTAGGTTACAAAGCCTGGGCTCCTTAACCACCAGTAAGGGCTGACCAGGTAGAGAGTAACGCAAAATGCGTACCTGTGAAACCTAGCCATATTCCAATTATTCCTTAAGGGAACTAATGAAGCGTTAGAGTCCTTTTTCTGAGGAAGAGATCATCAGGCTCCCCATGCATCGCTTCAAAACTTTTCTTCAACATCCCCAACTAATTTCTCTTAGTAGGAAAGTTCTCCTTACTAGGAGCTATTTTGAAGCAGGAGGGAAGTTACAGAAACCCTGAGAGTGAATTCAGATCATTGGCTAGACACGGCTCTTCTGGGAACCTGTGGGTTCATCCTTATGTGTGGCCACCTTCTATGGAATGGGGACGCCCAGGGTCCAACCACCCCAGGGCTTTGTTTTGAAAAGCTGGCTAGGCATTGGAAGTTTGACACTAGAGCTTATGTTGGACCGTGGCTGGTCAGTGGCATTTGCCACCAACGGTAGAAAATACCCCAGTGTGACCCACCCGGTAGGCCTCACTGAGCCATCTATGCATCAGTGGTCCCCGCCCCTGAGGCCCCGGGACACGCAGTCTGCCATGTGCCTGGGGAGTATCTGTGTGCTTTGTCTCCCTGTCCCTCTCCCAGTGGTACTGGATGACAGCAAGCGGCTGGCAAAGCGGAAGCTGATTGAGGAGAACCGGGAGAAGAGACGGCGGGAAGAGCTGCAGAAATCCATCGGGCACAAGCCAGAGCCCACCGACGAGGAATGGGAGCTCATCAAAACCGTCACCGAAGCCCACGTGGCCACCAATGCCCAAGGCAGCCACTGGAAGCAGAAACGGAAATTCCTGGTGAGGCTCCCATACATAGCTGAATATCGCTGCATGCCGGCGCTTTCTACCTGGATTCGTTTAGTCCTCACGCCCTGGGATGCTGGGGTTCCCGCCCCATCTTACTGATCGGGAAACTGCAGCTCTGAGGAGTTAGGTGACTTGCAGAGCCAGTATCTGAATCCAAGCCTGTCTGAGAACAAAGGTCACTCCCATCATCTACTACTTGCAGGTCACTGAATTTCATAGCAGTTTCTATGGCCACATGATCTGTTTGCTGTTGCTGTTAGTAAGGCCAGCCCTGCATCAATTAGTAAAATTCTTTGCCTGCCAACTTTCCCTTTTTATACCCATTTCTACCCTCAGATAACCATGTATATACATACTTAGTCCGCTAAAATGTCTCCAAAATATTCCCTTTAGAGTAACCCCTAGAGTGAAGTGTCCCATATCTCAAATGCATTTTTATGTCAGTAGAATTCAAAATGTTTAGCTTAAAATACATGATCTCAAGTCCAGGAAGACAATGGGAACAGGGAATAGGGATGGGGGCAGGGGCTGTGCCGAGAAAACAGGCCTTTCAAGACCCTTGGAATATTGATGTTTGGTGTTTTTATAAAAACTAGCCACTGTGAACGTCCCTCCCACGTCTTTCTCCTTTGGACCTCACAGTGCTTTGAGGTAGGCTGGGATTACTCTCCCCACTTTACAAATATGCAAACCAAGCCCAAGGCCTTAAGTGGCTCACTCAAGATCAAACTACTGTAAAGCGACTCAGGTCTTGGGGTTCCAAGTCCAGGCCCTCTGCCCACCTCACCAGACGGACCACCCATCCCACCACCAGCTGGATTGGACCTCACAGATACTGCTCTTGGTTTGACAAGAACCTTTTATGAGCATCTCACGGAGCCCCGGCTTCAGACCTGCTATGGGTTTATTTGTATCTCCAGGGTACACAGAGTACCTTCCCGCCTGAACAAGAAGATTTAGTGACATGATTATCTTTGTACGTCACCGTCACCATTATAATGGAATGGGTTTTTCTTCGTGAAAACAGTACAACAACCTTAAAGGAAAAATTTAGAAAGAGAAAGCTTACCTGTAATGCACCTGCCTTCAAACACTTTCACGTTGTAAGGAGTGGGTTCCAACACACTCTGTGGATGGCTTCTACCAACAATAGTGTTAGCAAACATGCTGCATGGCCCTTACCAAATGCCAGGTACTATTCCCAACCCTGTAGGTAGATGTCGTTAATATCTCTGTTTTACAGAGGAAGGAACTGAGGCAGAAAGGTTAAGGAAGGTTACCTGAGCTCCCACAGCTAGTAAGTGGTGCTGATGGATGCAGCCCAGCTGCAGGACCCATGCTCTAAACCAGTACACCATGAACTTGGCCACCTACACAAACCCTTTTCGAAAGACACATCTTTGGAGGGGCTGCCTCTTACTGCCTTGATCTGCATCCTCAGCCCCACCCTGGTATATCACCCAGGCAATTAGAAAACACTAATTCTGGATAGATAGATCAATTCTAACCCAATATATTTGGGGCATAGCAAGATAGAGTCCTGTCCAACCCTGATCCTAAATCTGTCCTTTCCCCGAATGTGTCAGCCATAAAAGGACATTGAGGAAACCACTTTCAGGCCTGTCACTGCCATGCACAGAGACCAAGCTGAATTCCAAGTAAGGTGGGAGATTTGGGGCACATCCTGTACTTCCCCTGGGAAATTCTATACCTCTATTTTCTTTACTCCCAAAAGAGAATGGATACCACTATAACTAACCAATTCAGTGGTCTTTACAGTGCTTCTTTCCAGACTTAAAGATTTGTTCTTTTATTTAGAAAACATGTATTATTGAGCAGCTACTACATGCCAGGAAGTGGGAAAACTCAGCCATATTCCAGCGGAGGGAGACAGACAGTAAAGGTTCAACAAACAAGGCAAATGCAGGTAGCGGTAAATGCAATGAGGGAAATAAACATGGTGATGGGACAAAGTGATTGTGAATTGGAAGTGGGGATAGACTTCACCTCTTTAAACCGGGTGGTCAGAAAAGACCTCTCTGACGAGGTAACATCTGAGCTGTGTCTGAAAGCTGAGAAACCAACTCTATAAGGTAAAATATAATCAGACCTCTTTATTCCTCATGATCTCTTCAGCAAATAGAGCACAATTTCTAGTCATTTAAAAGCAGCAAAGTCTGCACCTTTAACTCCAAGGCTCCTAACAGGTTTTATCAGCCAGATCATCTATAGAAAGAACCAAAGAAGGTGTGGCACAGCATGATTTGCCATTAGTGTTTTTGTCAGGACCATGAGATTATCAAGGCACAATAGGGCTTTCTTCAGGAAGGTAACATTTACAAAGAGCAGCTGTTTTACCCATCCATCTCCTATTCCCCCTGTGAAGCTGACATGAAATGTATATTTTGTAGATCCTTGATCTGCTCAAGAAATTGCCCCTCCTGATCCAAATACAAGTGACCACTTCTTCAGGCAATTTTTTTCTTAGAGGGGGGAGATCAGAATGTCTCCACTGTCCCATTTGTCTCTACAGTGCACTTCATTTCTGTCAGCCAGTCCTCTTCTATCACCTCGCATCTCCTCAGGGGAAGGGCCATGTTCCATTCAGCTTTTTCACCAATGCCTATCACATGTGTGGTAGAAATTTGTGGTAGCTTTTCTCCAAGATGGCTGCCATTAGATTCATTCCTCCCTGTATACACAGCCCATTCTGTCCCATGGAGAGGTAAAGTCTGTTCCTCTCCCGCCTTGAACTGGGCGGGCCTATGATTCCTTTAAACAATGGATTTGGGCAGAGTGACTTCTAAGGCTGAGTCATAAGAAGTCTTGCAGTTTCCACTTGGTTATCTTGAAGAGGGAAGCCTCCTAGTCTCCCTGAGAGAAGCCAACTGCCATGTTTAAAAAAAAGTCCAACTCAACCACCCTAAGGCCGCCATGCTGTGAGGAAACACAAGCTATCTCTGTGAAAAGAACACATGAAGAGATTCTCAACCAGCCCAGGCACCAGAAATGTGAGTGAAGAAGCCTTCAGGTGACATCAGCCTTTGCTGCCATTCGATGATAGCTGTAGGAGGGAACCCAAGCGACAACCACCCAGCTGAGCCCATCAATCCGCAGAACTCTGGGACGAGTAAAACTTTGTTGTTTTTAAGCCACTGAATTTTGGGGTAGTTTGTTATGTAACAATCGATAACCAGAACAGAACTTAATAAATATTTGTTAAACAGAACATACAGTTCTACCAGCCCACCCTCAGAGACAGTACAGCTAAGCCCTGTGTCTCAGCCAGGTTACATATTTACAAATACTCCTTGCAAGAGGATGACCTCAATTGAGTATTTATGTTCACGATGAAAATTTCACTCTCTTGAGTGCGGAATTTTCCTGCAAGAACATTAGGAATCTTCAAAGACTGCTTTGCTAAATGGTATCTATGTCCTGAATAGGCTTCTACACATTAGGATGTGTGCCTCCTGCGTAGCTGATACCCCTTATTTTTGCTTGCAGCACTGCTCTGCATATTATTTCATTTATTTTTATGTGATGATGGCCCATCTTGCTCTGAAAAAGAATTTGAGGAGCCCTGTTATGTTAATAATAGCATAGTATTAATAATACATCATAAGGGAGTAAAATGATATGTTGTCATAAAAGCTAGAAGTATTCATTTATCTGGAATGGGTAAGTAACTTATTCCTCAAAAGGAGGCGCTTCATCATCATTTTCTACCCCAAGACCAGGACTCAGGTCATAAATAGAGACGGGTGGTTTGACCTGGGTTTCAAATCTCTATTTGTGCTGAGAAAATAAGAGTCATTGGCAAACAGGAACTTCTGTAAAAGCCATGCGGATTTTCTAGTTCTAAAGCCACTCTTCAAAACTGTTTCCAAAAGCATTTAAATGATATAATTTTCTAGTTTTCTCCAATCCACTCAATTCTCTGATGGTACAGAAGTGCCCCATTTAATCACCAACAATTTGTGTGTGTTGACAGTGATGATGAAAAGTAGAATGTGGAATAAGAGGCTTCTGAAGCCAAACAAGGGAAAGAAGTGTCTCTCCACCAAGGGTACCTCACTTCTACACCTCCCAGAGGCAATGAGACATTTGGTTTGGAGTAAGCCCCCTACCAGCAACATCGTTGTCTGCTGACATTGTGTTATTAATCTGCTCCCTTTGTTCACATGCGAAGGCATGGCGTTGGGTGGATTTTCCACCCAAGTATAAAATGTAAGCATCAGAACTAGGACAAGCCGGCCCTGCTTTTCTCCTGGCAGAGCTACTGCCTGATTTCACACATTCTCTCGGTTGGGATAGCCTCGGAAAAGAAGCATAGGATCAGACAGGATGAGTGATTTGGCCATGTGTGCACTGTCTGGACAGGTCATAAGACACATGCAATCAAGTCAGGAAGACTTCTGTCACCCAAAATGATTATAACTACATCAGAAGAAGGCAGGGTAGTTTAGTGGTTATGCACATGGAGATGGAAATCAGATAGCCTGAGTTCAATGCTTGTCTCTGATGCTTTTTAATTACGTGACTCTGGGAGTGTTACTTCGCCTCTCTAAGGCTCAGCAGCATTTATGCCCTTACCAAATGATATAAAGGTAATCTATATAGGCACTTGGCATATAATTAGCAACCACATAAGTGGTTACTATATCCATCCATCATTTCTACCACCACTACCCTCACCATCTTGTCCCTGATTGTCCCAGGAAAAGGGAGAGCCCGTAGTAATGTCCTGAGGCTCAGGGATCTTTAATCACTATTGCTCTCTCCTTTTTTCACATCTTTAGGGGTGTCACGGGTGGTGATTTTAATGCCCCACTAACCCATATATTGAATGGAAATGAACATCAGTATTAACCCACTGACATTTCAAAGGACACCGAATACCATTTAAATACAATTAGATTTTAGATCTATCAGTGTTCAATAGGAAGATGTTTGGGTTCAAACAGGCCAAAAGTGTGTGTGTGTGTGTGTGTGTGTGTGCGTGTGTGTGTGTGTGTGTGTGTGTGTGACTCCCTACCTTTTTTTAACGTGTGTCCATGTTCCTTTTATCAGTTACTCTTCATAGCAGAGTTGTAATGTAGATAAGGCAGGTGAGATGAGCCTCATTTTCAGGGTGAGAGTAATTATAAAGACCACCAAGGAGGTCTGAAGGATTCAAGAAGCACCAATGCCCCAAGGAGGAACTGATGTGCCTTTTCCCTTATCTCAGTCCATGTGAAAAAGAAAGAGAAGAAAGCTGTACACGTGATTATTCCATCAATTCCATCTGCATCCAGACAGCCAACAGAACAGGAGCCTTCCATGAGCTGGCCACGCCAACAGTTGCCCCAAAAGATCACCATTGGTTGTGAAAACACGACAAAAACCAGACTTCTTTCCCGTCTACTCACTGCGCCCAAAACAAACAATTAAAAAAGTAAAATAAAATAAACAGAAGAACCTGCTGGACAATTCAAAAAAGGTCAATACTGCCAGAGTTTGTTACGTAATATATTTAACAGCTTTCCCCGGCAACCATGGCTCCTACCGCCCTGGGAGGGCATGGGCTGCTCCTGTCGATCTTCATGCCCTGGCAACAAGAGAGTAAAAGCATCATTCTTTGCTTTTCTTCCTGCTAAAAATTAGATGTGAGCAGTAACAGGGGAGCTGTGGGAAGAAACATGGTAACTGGTTTCCGCTGAGCTGGATGTGGTTACGGCTAATCCAGCGGTTCTCCAAGTGTGGTCCCAGGCGAGCCGCATCAGCACGCTCCGGGAACCCGTTAGAAATGAGGATGCCTAGGCTCCGCCCCTAACCTACTGAGTCAGGAACCCCCAGGGTGGAGCCCAGCAAGCCGGGATTCTGACGCACAATGAAGCTGAGCACCAAGGTGACAGTCTTGTCACTGGCCGTGCCCTCACCTCTTTGCAAGTGAGGGATTCAGCCTTGCTCAACTCGCTCACAGCCCCAGTCCTTCCTGCCCATCTCTGCCCACCCCCACCCCCTGCACCTTCCACCCCTGGGTGCTTGTTCCTGTCTGTTCACTGTGGCTCTAGGCAAAGGTGTCCACCATCAGGCAGGGCCTTTGTCTCCAATCTCTTTGATCACAGTCACAACTTCCTGGAAGACAGTGGGAGAGGCTGGCATGGGGAGTAGGGAGAGGAGCAGAACATATGTGCCCTACTGGGAAAATGTGCAAGGCGTCAAGGCCCCCGAGCGGGCAGAGATGAGACTCCTGGCAGATTGCTGTGTGGAGTCTGAGCCTCCAAGATCCCAGTCGTGGCCTCAGACGATTGTTCTTAACCTCCCTGAGCCCTTGTTTGCTCTCATCTGCCAATCAGGGAGTGTGTGAGAGCCTAAGGGGCTGGCTGGCTGGCAAGCCACAGATAAATGGCTGTTACTGTTATCACAGTGACAAAAAACGGCAATGGAGAGGCCTGTTCCTGGCAGGAAGCACTGGTGACAACAGGAGATATATGAGAGGCCACACCATGGTGGTCACTGAATGCCTGGCTAAGGAGCTAGACAGCTTCAGCCGCCATTGAGAGCCAAATATCAGCACAGCCACCTGGGGGCTTGCTAAAATGCTGATTCTGCACCATTCGATGGGGGGGGGGGGCGGATAGGGGGAGGCTGAGAGTGTGCATTACTAATAAGCCTCCAGGTGGCATCTGGGCTGGGCTGTCACACCACCCTTTGAGTAGCAGGGCCATGCATTGTTCTTAGGCTAGTGAACGGCAGACAAGTGCCCTCAGGACATTAAATTCTAGTAAAAACCCCCCACTCTGCCTGAGGTTTGCTAAGTTTGCACAGCTCAATTCCTGTAGGCAGCCTCGAGATGGTCCCCCTCAGCCGGCTGAGACCTCCAACTGGAGTCTGTAGGGCAGACAGGGCATCAAGCCCCAGCAGCAGGATCAGAAGCAAGAATGAATCCACAAGGTGCTGTTTGCCAGGGCTCCCCCTCCACACTCTCCCTCAATGCCCACACTGTGCCCACCTCACACACAAAGACAGGCATCAGAATGTGCAGTGCCCTGAAAGTGGCCTAGGTTTTATGTCACCTGGTGTAAATATATATACCCTTTGTGCATTCAGAAACAAACCCCAGATTCCTCGTGTTTCTCCCTTCCTCTCTCTCTCTCTCTCTCTCTCTCTTTCTCCCCTCCCCCCTCTCTTCTTTTCTTTTCTTTCTTTCTTCCCTTCCTCCCTCCCTCCCTCCTTTCCTCCCTTCCTTTCTTCCCCCCCAATCCTGTGACTATTATCACTGGGGGCCTGTTACAACAATAGCTAAGACATATATCTTTGCTCAGAGAACTAAACGATGTGAAAACTGTAGTTTGTTAATAAACTATGTGAAAAACTGGAAACTGTACAGGCTGACAGCCCAGAAGAGACCTTCTGCCACGTGAGAACTAGAATAAGTAAAGATCCCTTAAACTTCTTCATTTAAATACTTTTTGTTTCTCCTCCTTAGCCAGAAGATATTGGACAAGCACCAATAGTAAATGCCCCAGAAGGTGGAAAGGTTGACTTGGAAGCCTTCAGCCATTTTACAAAAATCATCACACCAGCAATTACCAGAGTGGTGGATTTTGCCAAAAAGTTACCTATGTTTTGTGAGGTGAGGAAATTATTTTTCCTACTGCATTACTTTTCATTATAGTTCCATCAATTTCCAGGAATACTGAATATTATATATAATTTAATATTAACTGGTAGGGACTTAGTCCTATGAAAGCAATGTCAGTACAGAATGAAAATGCACTTTGTTTCATTTTATTTCCCCACCTCTTCTATTCAGTTATCATTCATTAGCTTATCCACATGAGGTCAACGAAGGTCCTATTCATCCATCGACTCCAGGCATAGGGGAATATGACAGCAATCCTTGCGTTAATCAGCACCTGCGATGTCCTGGTTACCATGCTCAAGTTTGCCCACATTAAAGGAAATCCTTATAACAGATTACAGGGTAGCTTAAATGAACCCCATTTTACAGATGTGGGACGTTGAGGTCCGTGTGATTAACTTATCCAAACATGGGGTTGTGGTTTGAGTCTAAGTCTATATTCTTTCAACTACATACCCCAGCAAGATGGTTGTGTGGTCGTTTCTTGGTCGAATAAGTTAAATGACCCTCACAGAGTGAGGATCATAATATCTCCTTAAATCTTCCTCTTTTCTTGTAAGTTCACCCCTTCTTGCCCCATCTTCAGGGCACCCTGAAGAGCTCACCCACCAGAGGTCATAGCCTTTCCCTGTGGGACACTTCATCCCTAACTTGAGCGGTCCTACCATGTGGTAGCTGAGAGCATGAGCTCTGCAGTCAGTTGCATGTGCAAGAATCTTAAATATGTTATTAAATGTCTTCAAACCTTGGTTATCTCATCTTTAAAATAGGAATCATAAGAGGATCTACCTTGTAGAGCTGTTGGGAGATTTACATGTTATAGTAAGTGCTTGGATCAGTCTTGGGTTGGGTCATAAGTACTCCATAAATTATAGCTGTTAATACCGCTATTTTATCCATTACATTACCATCCTGCCTCTACCTTCCTTTTTTTATTTATTTGGGATTGATTGTGTTTACTGGAGTATTGTTCCCTTTGAAAAACTCCAGTAGGTGCCAATCTGTTGCTCTTCACATCTCCAAGAGGACCCAGAAAGATACCAGATAGAGAGGACCACGCACTGCTGTGAACCTCTTACCTGAGCTACCCGAGTGATAAGTGAATCTAGTCTCACCCAGAAAGAAGCTGGGTTTCCTCACAGAAATGATTCTGTCCTCCCTGGCGTCCTGCTCATTTGTGTCTTTGGCTTTGTAATACAGAGAGCCCAGCTGGAGTCTGAGCGACTTCAGACATCATGGGGACACTTCTGGTTGCCTCTTTCTGAGCCTCCACAAAAGCCATACCCAAAAGAACACAGCAGTGGGCTTCAGGGTGCAGGTATCTGACCCCCAGACCCAGCTGGGGGAGAGTGTGCCTCCCTCTTGCACCCCAGCTTCACTGTGGTAGAGGCTGAGGTACCCGATGTGCCTGCCAGCTAGCAGCCCACAGTAGGAACCACTCGTATCCCACTCCCAGAGGAGCCAGGGAATCCTAGAGAAGGAATCTGACTTGTATCTGTATTTGGTGTGGAGCATTCCATGTATCTGACCATCTTTTTTTTTAATATTTATTAAAGTTTTAGAGGATATTACAAAAATCATACATATTCATTGGTGATTTATACAGCATAATAAAGGTAATGATTCATGATAACATCACCAAGAGATAAACTGCTGCCACTGGGAGCCTATTTTAGACTTTTTTCCAATAAATGTGTGTATGTGCACACTCACATATAAAAACACATACACATACAAAGGTCAGACAATTAAGTTCACAAACTCACCCTAGAAAAAGTGCTACATACCTCATTGCTGAATATCTTTATGGTCACCTTCGAAGTACTCCCCTTGGGAAGCTATGCACCAATACCAGCACCTAGCCCACCCTTCAAAGCAATTTGGAAATCTTTTTTTCTGGAATGGCCATCAAAATGTCTTCCTTTCAATATTTCCTTTATCTTCGGGTAGAGAAAGAAGTCACTGGGGGCCAGATCAGGTGAGTAGGGAGGGTGTTCCATTACAGTTATTTGTTTACTGGCTAAAAACTCCCTCACAGACAGTGCCGTGTGAGCTGGTGCATTGTCATGATGCAAGAGCCATGCATTGTTGGCGAAAAGTTGAGGTTGTTTAACTTTGTCACGCAGCCTTTTCAGCACTTCCAAATAGTAAACTTGGTTAACTGTTTGTCCAGTTGGTACAAATTCATAATGAATAATCCCTCTGATATCAAAAAAAGGTTAGTTGCAATAAGTTTGCGAACCTGTCAGAACTCATATATATGAAATATATTAATGTAATTTATACTATAATATACGTTCTATTTATGAAACCACTTTTTATTAAGGAGTAAGAAGCACATATCATAAGGGTACAACTCAGTTAATTTTCACAGGCTTAACACACCCATACAACCAGCTCCAAGATAAAGAAACAGAATGTTACCAGCTCCCTGTTGTGCCTAACGTTTTACACCCAACTGTAAAATATTATCATTTAAGTATTCTTTCACAAATAATTTGTAGTGACCACATAGCATTCCAAAGAATAGATCTACCATAATTTAGGTTATCTGCTTTCACTGGATCTTTAGTTCATTTCCAGTTCACTAATATAAATACTCTGCAATGAATATTCTGGAGACCAGGCCCTGCTCACAGTACTGTCTCCTCAGGGCAAACCCAAAAGTGGAATTTAAGGACCAAGGCATACACACCTTTTAAGGCGTTCAACACGTGTTTGTGCTTGCTTGCCCTCACTCTAGGCGTCATCTTTCCCCCTTCTCTTTGGGTCAAGCTTGTTTTCCTGGACCTTTCTTGGACCCCTCTCTCTGGGCTGTGTCTCTCGTCGCCCAGTCCTTGGTGTCTGAAGAGAAATTTGATTGATTTTGCCACTTGAGCTGTCCGTCACATGTTCCCCCTTCGAATACCCACCGAAACTATATTTTAGAAAATGAAAAGCTCATGTAAGCCAACCACTGCAGAGATATTTCAGTCAAAGAAAGAAAGAAACAAAGCCATCTCCACCACCAGTAACAAACACACTGTACACTTATGTCCATGACAAGGGTGAGGGGTCATCATGGGACTTTTCAAGTTTCCCTCAGATGTTTAAGCCTGCTTCAAAGTTCTGATTCCATTTCTCTTTCAAGCCTGATATTTTGCAGTCTCCAAATTACAAAAAAAGGGGGGGGCCACTTGTACAGCAGAGATGAGTATGTTTCTGGTGTTTGTGGCCTCCTGAGGATATCTAGACTTTAGACTTTGTCTTTGGAACCCTGAAGAGGGTTAACGACTATGTAAGCTGAGTGGGCTGGAGGTCCCAGGTGGTCTCAAGAGATAGAGGTTTCTCCCCAGAGGCAGTTTGATGCATCTGCTGCTGAAATTGCACTCATGGTAATTTTCTGCTAAGATCCATGCTAACCCACCAAGCAAGGACACCCTGGTCCTCAAAAGATCTAAAATCATTTCTGGCAGAGCTGCCAAAAACACACATAAGAACCACTTCTAGAGTACAGGGCACTGTCATCTTTTCCAATCAAACTGAGTGATACGCTTCTATGGAGACAGGAAGAGCCTGTGGGAGGATCCCTGTCTGTCTGCCTGTCTTTGGTGGAATATTCTCCCAATGAAAGTATTTTGGCAAGTGACTAACAGATTATGTGCCCATAGGCTGAAACAAATCTCACCAGCATCCTGCAAACCCCTCTTAAAGGAAAAGTCACCTGTCCTAGTTTTTAAACCTTTGGTGATCCTTGACAAATACTTATTAAAGTTTTATTTACATTTGAACTAATCAACAGTAAGTTAAAAAAGAAAGCTTCTATTTCATCTATAATCAGACTTGGCTACAAATCTGGGGCTTGCCCAAGTTTGTATACTTTGTGACAGATTTTTTTTAAATGAATGGTTTTCTCTGAGTAGTAATTTCTCTTTGCTGTTCTATGCCAGTGGTTCTCAAGAGAGGTATCCCTGAACCAGCAGCATGAGCATCACCTGGGAACTTCGAGAAATGCAGAAACTCAGCAATGTGTGGTTAACAAGTCCTCCCGTGACCCCGATAGGGCTGAAGCCATCGCTGCCCTAGGCGTTAAAGCCAGCCTCCACCCACTTCAGCCAGTTCTCCATCTTACCTGTGGAGGATCTGTCCATGTTCAGGTTTCCTATTTCCAGGGACCCAAGGATATACTTGAGGAGTACCAATTAGTACCTAATAAAAGCAAATCAAAGTCATTTTTTTTAATGCATGGAAGATGAGAATTCACATGTATGGATTCCAGAAACAAGCACAAGATGACTGTTATTCTGTAGAAAAAGCTAAGCAATTTGAAATTAAATGGTAAGGTGGCTAGGTAGAGTTAGTAAAAAATAGGAAAGACCCAATTTATTTTTTTTTAAGATTTTATTGGGGAATCGGGGGAAGGGAACAGACAAGTTGCTGTTGTTTTGTTCTTCAGTCTAGTTGTGGAGGATGTAGCTTCACTGGCCCAAGTTGGCACCATCATTGCGCTCTTCCTGGGAGAGGCAGATCAGTCGCCGGCTTCTGGACGGCCACTCACAGCGGCTGCTGGCTACACACAGAAGCTTATGGCAGCCCACTGCAGCAGGGGACTGAAGCCCACGCCGTCGCTGGCGACCCACAGCAGCCCAGCTCCAGGTTGAGCTGTTGTTCAGCATCTTAGCTGTAGGGGGCAGTGTCACTGGCCCTCATATGTGGGATCCGAACCGGGGCCCTCTGGCATCCCAAGCCAGTTCTTAACCAACACGCCACTCGGCCGGCCCAAGACCCAGTATTTTAAACGTGGTAAAGCAGTATTACTTTTAGTTTTATATAATAACCTAAAGTGAACTGGTCGAGTATTGCCAAGAGTATTTCCCAAAAAGAGTTTGTACATCCTTAATGAAGAGAAAGAAATTATGTGCAACTTACATATTCATTGTTTATGGAAACTTAGTCCCATTCAAAGTACTTCAAAGAGTGTGTTCTCTTCTATCCTTGGCATTGGACTCTGACAGGTCTAGCTGCAAATCCTAGCCTCACCTACAAAATATTCATGTGACCCCCTAGCTGTTACTCAACCTGACAGTGCCTGGATTTCCACATCTGAAAATGAAATTAGAATTAGAACATTAACCTCACTGTATTGCTGTGAAAATTAAATAAGGTGAGGCACGTAAACCTTGGCGCAATGCCCAATTCATCAGAAACACCCAGTAACTAATAGCCTTTCAAACTATTGTGCTAATGGCATTTAATTAAACACTTTCCCCATTCATACAACTCTGATTTTTTTTATTATTTTGCTTAGCAAAATTTTTTAAGTTTGTTATTAATGTTATCACATTATCACAAATCCTAATTAATAGGGCAACCAAATGTGCTTTAAATGAGATTGGCAGAAAGATCCAGTGTGTGTAGTAACTCTGGTGTGTGAGGTACTAAGAAGAACAAAACTCTAGGAGCCAGAAGTCTGAATACTGGCCTCATCTCTGCCCCCAACTCACTGGGTGACCTTAGGCAATGCTTTTATATCTCTGGGCCTCATGGGTAATATGCATTTGTAAGCGTCCCTCTAGTTCTATGTCTTTTAAGAGACTCAGGGAGCACACTTGCTTCAAAACACAAAGAGAAGCACAGTTGCCAGCTAAACAGTGGCGTTATCTGTTGATTACTGGAGTTATTAGACAAAAGTATTGGCAAATTTAACATAAACCCTCCTCTCAAGCAATTATCAGTTGGGCTATAATACAAACCCCCAGAATAAGGGGCGGTTGCATTTTCACATGTGACTATAGTACCAGTTGGACATCTTTATCTGTTACCAAAAAAATGCAAACTACTGAAATTAAATCAGGTGAAGATTAGGACCAACTTGGAGTATGAAAAATGGTAGAGCAAAGTCTGCAACCAAGTAGGAAAGGAAAAGCCAGAGTGTAGGCTCAGAGTACAGGACTCACGTCCTTCACAGAATGGTGCCCTTAAGAGACTGCCTGTTGTTCCTGACTGACGTTTGTCCACTTGTTCTTTGCTGATGTGGGCTCATTCTTTTCAGCTGCCATGTGAAGACCAGATAATCCTCCTCAAAGGCTGCTGCATGGAGATCATGTCCCTTCGCGCTGCTGTGCGCTATGACCCAGAAAGTGAGACTTTAACCCTAAATGGGGAAATGGCAGTGACACGGGGCCAGCTGAAAAACGGGGGCCTTGGGGTGGTGTCAGACGCCATCTTTGACCTGGGCATGTCGCTGTCTTCTTTCAACCTGGATGACACTGAAGTAGCTCTCCTTCAGGCTGTCCTGCTGATGTCTTCAGGTGAGTGTGTACAAGCTCATTACTGAGCATCAAAAGAGCTTTTGCTGGTCTGGTGGGAATTCAAATCACTTGAGTTTTTAACCCCTTTTTAGCTTTAGAATCAGAGCTCACTCTCCAGGGAACAATTGCAGGTTTGCCAATGTACTGGGAACTAAAGGAGGGTGTCAGGTATCTGATGCCTTTTGCAGGCTTCCAGCATAGTGGGAATGAACCAAAAGAGCCATTTACAAGACTCTATCAAATGGTCCACCTTCAGTGGACTCTACTCAGCCTGCCTCACAGTAGTTCCCTGCCCCTGCCCCATTCTGGTTTTGTGTACACGGTATGGGAATTCATGACCGCGCCATTCTGCGTTAAGTTCTGGGTGAGGAAACCATGAGCTAGAGCTAGAGTTTGTCCATAGCTTAGCTACAACTTAAGTTTCAGTTATTTATTGCTATATATATCACACCACCCAAAACTTAGTGACTTAAAACATCCAAGATGGCTGGGGTTGAGGCTGAGACATCAAACACAGCTCCAGGACGATATCCATGCAGTCTCTCCCCTGGCAGGGTAGTTGGACTTCTTGCATGGCTGGTGGATTCCACAAAGGAGAGTTCCAAGGATACCAAAGCAGAAGTTACAGATGTCTTAAGGCCCAGTCTTAAGTCATATAGCGTCACTTCTGACACAGTCTTTCCAAACAGGTCCCAGCACCAGCCCAGATTCAAGATTCCACCTTCCGATGGGGAGGAATGACAAAGAATTTGCAGCCATCTTTAATTTGCAGCATTGGCTTATTATCAAGACTTTTATTTCCCATTGATGAAGAGTAGATAATAACCCTGACACTTTTTTCTTCAGAGATCATGTCATAATAAATAAGAAATGCAAAATACATCAGACTCTTTAAGCAAAAGTAGTCTTTAAATAGAAGGTGGTTTCAGAGCCATCATCAGCATTTTCAGAGTTCCCTAAGTTTAGCTGTGCCTCAGCAATTGTCATTCTGCACTACAGCTTTCTTCTTAATTTGTCCATCTCTCCCTCTGAACTATTTACCTTTTAAGACCAGAGATATGTCTAATTGTGCACCCAGCACCTAGGCCAGTGTTCTGTAGACTTTGAGAAGTTAACCGCCATGTTCCCCACCTTCTGATGTTCACACCCTTATACCAATCCCCACATTGAGTATGTGCAGAACCTGTGACTTGCTTCTTCAATAGAATATGGCAAATTTGATGCCACTCTCATGTGATTACATTACATTATGTTAGATAAGGTTCTCTCTTGCTAGCAGACTTGCTCTAGAGACAGACTCTCCTTGTCGGTGGCCATGTTGGGAAATCTCACATGACAGGGAGCTGCAGGCAGCCCCTAGGAGCTGAGGACAGTCTCCAGTCTAACGGCCAGCAAGAAACTGGGGCCCCAGTCCTTCAGTAGAAATAAAACTTGTAGCGTTTTCTAAGAACTCCCGACGTGACTTTGAGTGAACCCCCTTGCTTCTCTGGGCTTCAGTGTCCTTTAAAATAAAGAAATTGAACTAAATAAGTGCAAATTATATTTCTGGAGGTGGGATTCAAGGTAACTTTTTAGCTGAGATTTTAGTGGTACAAAGAAAGTTTTAAATAACATGGATTCATATAGCGAGGAAGCTATTTCTTTTACAAGTTTTGTGCTGGCTATAGCTCCTTCTAAACAAGGCGTGAAGAGAGAATCAGTTTGATGCTAGTCTGCCCTTAACACCGCTCTAATACTTGCTAATCTTCCTTTTTGGGACAGTTTCAGCAGGAGCTTTTAGCTAAAATGTAATAAAGTTTTTTGCCATGCATCCATTTTTATGGTTATCATCCATTTCTGGCAAATGGGATTTTTATTTAGTGAATAATATGAAATTTCCTCTGTAGTGAGTCAAATGGATTTTTATTTAGTGAGTAATATAAAATTTCCTCTGTTGAGAGTCAATTTAACAGATTAAGTAAATAATCTCAGGAAGGTAGATAAAGCGAGTATGTGGGGATGGCAAAAATTGTGAATGTGACTCCAAACTCTGTCAAACACGTAACTGAATGATTCCTCCCAATTCGGCCTGCTTGACAGCCATGTAACATACTAACTTTTAAAAATCTTCTCCACCTGAATGATCTGGTGGATCATTAACACTTTGCATTAATACTGCCAGGACCAGAAAAATATTACCAAACGCTTTACATTTGGCAAAGCACAGCTACGTATCAGTGCTCCAAGGCTCCAATTTCTTCTGGGCATTGTCTTCTAAGCCCCATTGTTGTGTTTGCATTTCAGTTACACAAAATCTTAGGTCTCTTCTTCAAAGAGTGTTTCCCCGAAAATAAAACCGGGTCTTATATAAATTTTTGCTCCAAAAGATGCATTTTATTCATTTATTCATGTACATTTATTCAAATACAGTCATGTCTGGCTGTCAGTCTTAACTGGGGCTTATTTGGGGGTAGGACTTATGTTACGAGCACCCTGAAAATCATGCTAGGGCTCATTTTCCAGTTAGGTCTTATTTTCTGGGAAACACGGTACTGCTAAGTTCCTTGGTCCTACAGTAATGCACACAGAGCTAAAATGGAAATGATCTGAAAGACATATCTGAAAAATTTTGTCGTTAGGGAGTTAAAAACGTCTTTGACCTTTAAAAATGTTTCACTTTTCGTAAACATGTTTAGTACAACTTGAGTGTTATCAAAATGTACTTTCATTTTCTCTATATCTTTTATATTACCACTTATCTTTATCTCTCATCAAAGAACAGAGTTTTGCTGCCACAAAACCCAGATTACTTTTTCCCTTAAAGGAATACTTCCAGAGCAATATTATGTTGATTTCCTATCTGGATCAAAAATTAAAAGCTCCTACAGAGAATTCTCCTGGTACACTCAAAGGAAGAGAGAAGACAGGGAGAGGGAGAGAGAAGGAATGAGTAGATCCACAGAATAGCATCACCAAATATGAAGGAAAACACAAAATAAAAATGCACAAATTGCAATTTGAGCTGAAGAGAGGATTCCAAAATCCAATATATTTTTAGACTCAGAAAAATTGAGAAATTAGCCCTGACCTTTCCTTTCAGATTAAGCAGAACGTTATTTAGATTTTTACTAATACAGATACTTCCAACACTGACACTTGGAGTGTGAATTTATTTGATCAGAGCTACAAAGAGCAAGTTGAGGAGACCTGGGTTCCCTGGAGTGCTATGAGGAATTTATCCAGGTTTATAAATTACTTTTGTAACCCAAACGTTTGCAGCCTGGATATTCCACAGTCATCTAGCCTTCTTGTGACATCCCTGTATCATTTTTGGAAACTGCCTTCAGTCCCCCCACACACACAGAGTGGGAAGACCAGTGGTCCTCTCAAGAATTGGGAAGATGTCCCGGGCCTTATATGACCATGGTCTCCTCTCACTCCAACTTCCCACTGTGACTCTTCTCTGTGCACAGTGACTTTAGCATGGATCACAGCTCTATTTCTTTCGTTTTGATTCCCCACAGCACCACCTACACGAGGCTGCTACAGGTAGCAATTCTACTAAAGTATATAACAGTAGGGAAGGAGTGGTTCATGACAGCCTGGCAAACAACTAAGATGGGATATTGTGCTTCGTCTTCACAGGAAATCCTTGTTGTCCAACATTCTTCCTTTGACATCCAGGCATCCTGTGATGTTCCCAATTTCTTTTCACATCTCCCCCTTTCTGAGCATGTCCATGCTTGTCCTCCCCTTTCTCCCAAGGGGCCAGTGAAAACTCAAAATCGTTCCTTCATTATACAGAGTATTTCAGCTCTTTCAGTGAGGCTTCTCCTTCTGGACCTTACGAGGAAGGTATTGCCATTCACACCCATGGAGGTGATTGTCTAAACCAGACATGTATACCTGAACAGAGCATTGGCTCCATTCTTATCAATTATGCCACGCCCTGGGATGTGGCCCTGAATGCCTCTGAATTCATGTGGCATCCATGCTCATTCCTAGCAGTTGAAAAGTCCTCATATCCGCCCACGTGCACACTAAAGGGCTTCCACCTCTGAAGTAACATCCATCTTCTTTCTTTTCCTCAGATCGCCCAGGGCTCGCCTGCGTTGAGAGAATAGAAAAATATCAAGATAGTTTCCTGCTGGCCTTTGAACACTATATCAATTACCGAAAACACCACGTGACACACTTTTGGCCAAAACTCCTGATGAAGGTGACAGACCTGAGGATGATTGGAGCCTGTCATGCCAGCCGCTTCCTGCACATGAAGGTGGAATGCCCCACGGAACTCTTCCCCCCATTGTTCTTGGAAGTGTTTGAGGATTAGACTGACTGACTTCATTCTCATAATTCCTACAGCACTACTGGGTGTCATTTCATTCCATTGCCTAGCTCCTTTTTGTTTGTTCCTTTGTTTCTTTGTGTTGGGAGGGATTGTTTGGGGGTAAAGGGAGGTAGTCCTTGGCATAGACATGGATGAAATTTCCCCTTGAATGCGGGTACTTGTAACTATTGCATTTTGTTCTCCAGTCCTTTGATGTGAATGCTTTGAAGGTTTTACAGCTATGGAGGTGGGATGGGGACTATCATTCATTCACCAGCACCAAGCCATCACCAGCTCCCATCTGTCCCTGGTCAGAGACTCGAGCAAGCACAATGGCACAGCAGAAGACTAAAGAATCCTCAAAACCAAGATAACACGGTCATCTTGAGCCAGTCCTCATTTTTGCAGGGCTCAGGTTAGCAGGGCACAGACCATCTTTGGTTAGATGTGGCTTTCAGCTTTCTAAGGAAAGGTCTGAACAGATTTTTATTTATTCTAAAGCATGCTGTTTTCAGCACTCTTCAATTCTGTCCTAGCAGCATAACTTGGAATGTACAGGAATACTTGTTCCCAAGGAAATCAGCTATCCTTTTACTGTAATTTTTATAATTTTATGATTTAATTCAAGTTCTACAAGGGTGTCACTCAAAGATGTGCAGGTATTTGACTGAGGCCAACAAGGAACCGGTTGAGGCCAACCGTGAGCCCAAAGAAATTAGAAATCTTCATCAATGTCAGTGACTCAAAAGTTTCCAAAAATTCACATAGCATTACCTCATAGTAGGAAGGCTTCTTTACAGTTTAGGCTCGGAGAAAATTACCACATAAATTAAAACTATTTACAGAATGTTGTCACTTTTCAATGACATCTGATCCATCATCTCCCAAACTCCCGAAGTTATTTATCCTGATTGCATCTTTGCTGAGCTGACAGCAGATTTCCCTATGGATTAAATCTTCTCATCACGGAGAGATAACAAGCTGAAATTTGAGTCTTGTTCCCGAGGAACTCTAAGAAGAGATTATTAGTGCGGTTACCTTCTAAGTTGAAGAGAGCACAGTGACAGTGACCTGAGAGCCCCTTTCATGTACTGATGATGTGGGGATGCTTTCTTCCAGTCTTGCATCCTCGAGCTCTTTGCTCTGCTCACAAATGTTTCCTAGACCCCTTTTCCCTCTGACTCTAGGCTTGACTATCACTAAACAAAGACTGGTCCAGCCTCTGATCCTCTCTCCCTCGTGTAGCATTGCCCTCACAAATAGTCAACAGAAAACGCCTGCAGACCATGTACATGAACCCTCAGTCACCTTTCTGGCCCAACCCACCTCCCCAATGACAAACACTGGTGTTGCTTGTACCCAGAAAACAAATGATGATGCCTCATGGCTTCAATGTCAGAAAATGGGCAAAGAATGTACCCATGCAATTGAATGTATCTCATTCTTCACTGGCATAGTAGATATATACTATTCCTTTGCCTGCCTTGTACTGCCTTATCCTGGAAATACTGGGGAAAATAAGCCATATCAGTGAGATTTACCTAAAAACAAAAGAATGAAAGTCACTGTGAAAACCAAGTGGGCTAATTTTTTTAACTGGCCCAAAAGTCAGAGTGCCTGAGTTCTAGTTTGTGCTCTGTGAACTGGTAGATTTGTGACCTTGGGTCTTGGTTTTCACACCTTGGGTCTTGGTGAATGAGTCATGAGCTCCAAAATTCTTCCCATGCTTATTATTTTACTAATTTCAGAGCCAGGGAGGGAGGGGAGGTTCTGTTTCTTTTTATTGTTTCTTTCATATTCAAATTTCTAGCTTTATTAGACAAAAATTGTGACCCTCTTAATAGTTACGGAAAGTATAGTTGGTATGGATTCAAACTAAGAATTTGACACGCTACTCATCAACTATTTAGAGAAAGACAGAATGGCCTCGGAAAAAGGAGAGGAACAGCATTGAAAACCCCAAGTGTGACTGAAAATAATCTGAGGGGAAAAGTATATGTTTAATGCACTAAAGCAATTATAGTGGCTTCCGGGGAAAAGGAAACAAGAACATCACTATGGAACTTGCTACCCATAGGAAAGAAGTAGGCGAAGAGATTAAAATTTAAACATGAAGTTCCTGGGCAGATCGCTGTTTTTTACTTTAACTACTATCTATTTTGTTTGGGGGGAGTTGGGGTTTTTTTTATTTGGTTTTTGTTTTTTTGGTGGGGTTTTTTTTTTTTTTTTTTTTTGGTTCTCTCTCTAGGCAGCCTCTAGCCAGTCTCCTTGAGTCCTTGTTTTGTTAACATCTCAGCTCCCCCTGTTGGCTCTCGTTGGAGAACTACTGTTTGAAACAACCACTTAGTCACCTTCTAGCTCCAGGGTAATTCTGAGAAGCTTTACGGGTGTGGGGCAAGTTTCCCCTCAGAAGGAAATGGGCAGGAAGCAAGCAAGCAGGGTACTAGAAGGAAGCAGACTCCTTGGGCATCAAACTTTCCCCAGAAGGTCTCCTCAATTTGTTTGACAGAGGTTCCCCAGTATCTTAGACACATCCAGATTCAAATATAAGTGCAGAGCCTGATGTAGAGTGAATTCAGAATGCTTTTGGGATTAGCCATGATTGGGCATTGGCCAAACGGTACAGTATATCTACAGTAATCCAGCCAGCTCCAAGTAAATTTATGTCTGATCTTCAGCTTCTTAAACGACTGCTTTAAGCAGGCAAACCACTGATCTAAAAATTTTGTTGAAGGCTGAATACCTTATGCTGAGGAGGACAAGCCTTAAAGTACTTCAGGTTGAAAGAAAAAGCTATAAGGACTCAAAGGATCATGACCCTGGTGGTCAACGTGACTCATTTCTTCTGTAACTGATCAAAGTATTAACACTTAGTGCATCTCAAGACTCCATCTCATAAAACTTGATTAGGAGGGATTTGCTCTGGATTTTTTTTTTTAACATTTTTTTCTTATATTGTCCGGACTGTCAAATCAAGTATGGACCTAATTGAAACCCCTAACAGTGGGGAGACATCCCAGTAGAGGAGAACACGCCTGTACAACTGGGATTCTTATCTATAAATCACTTAACTTTTAGGGATGAGTGGTGTGTGTGTGTGTGTGTGTGTGTGTGTGTGTGTGTGTGCGCGCGCGCGCGCGCGTGCGCCCACCCGTAACCCTCAAGTGTACTTTGCTCTTCAATTTAGACATGCAGTATTTCCAGAAATAGTGAGAAAAGTAAGATCTTTTCTTCTTTATGATTCTGCTCAAAACACCATGTGCCACCTCAGAGCTTTTTCTAGTCAAATGAGCTTCTGTCCTCAATGATGCGCTTTTTGCCGTGTTGATGCCTCAGCCCAGTGATGTCCCCTCACCTGTGCCTGAGTGATACCTCTTCCACCTGCAGCACTGTCATCAGGGTGGACCACCAGGCTCGGCTCTGCTCCAGCATCGCCATTCTTGTGGCTCTTCCGTGAACAGGTGTGCAAGCCTTGGCCCCTCCTCAACACTAAGCACCCCCCAGACTCAGCCTCCATGGAACTGCTGAGCACCCTCAAAGCATGTCATTGTCAGTGATACATTTTTATTCTATGGAACTCTAACCTATTCGTGTCATATTGACCTTTTGCTGCATGAGTCATAAATTATGAAATCAGTCTTATGGTTTTTGAAATGTAGCCAGCATTTGTAAGGCTAAACCTTTTTCATAAATGGAATTTAAGTGAATAACCAAGCCACAGTTCCTCTCCAAAAGCAGAGTGCTTACAGACATTTGCATCTCTTTGCCCTTTCCAACGGCGATGGCATCAGGTTCTAAAATAAGCTCGTAATTTTTCCTGTTATTTTAATAATATGGAAATAGTAGCATAGTGTTTCTTTTGATAGTGATAGACTTTAATCCATATTTAAATTTTATAGAGAAGAAATTTTATTGTACTGTGATGTAGATATTTATTATCCAGGTAAGGATTTGCCCGGTGTGTATTTTTTACAATTGAAACATTTTACTTTAATCTTTAAAAAAAAAATACATTAAAAACATACACAAAAAAAGAAAAAAAACAGACTAAGGGAAAAAAGGTTTGGCCTTATCACAGAATTTTTACTGTGTTGTATAAATGTTTGCAAATGCAAAAAGTGTGCATTTCTAGTGTGTTTCCACATTAATTAATGCCACCTTCAAGAGCAATATCATGCAGGTAAAACACTGCTTGTGGCTTTCTGTTGCAGTTAAAGCTGACCCACCTTTTGCACAAGACAATCAAATATCAATCTGTCCTTCTCAGGATACAGATAATACTCAAGTAAGTTAAGGAGCACAATGTAAGACAAAAGAAAACTCTTTATTTAATTACACATGTATTATTGATAGAAAAGATACCAGGGCATGAATGAGCTGACATGACCCCGCTGTTCTTTTGGTTTTCCTAATTAATTTGGCATTTTCATTTGATTATAGAGCCAAATTAGATCTGTATGTTTTCTTCACAGGAAACACTTTCCCCGCCCCCCACAATGTTTTCATGCCCTGAGAATCATGAAAATACTACCGAATAGGAAAAGATTTACAGTCATCAGAAGACCTGTGTTTTGCAAACAGTGTTGTGATATTGCTAGATTGGTAATATTTTTTTTCAGCCTAAAACTCTGTTGAAATCTGTGATCAAAATGTTTTAAACTATCCAAAAAGAAAATTTGTATATTTGGGAAAAATGGATTTTTACATAGCTTTTGTATGCAGATATTAAATTGTAATTATAAATATAGTGGGCATAGATAAACTCATAAGCTTCAATTCTAAAAAAGGAAAAAAAAAAAGAAAGAAAAAGCTTATAACGGATATACTTTCCTGTCTCTTTCTTTAAATATTATTATTTTCTAAATAGGCACAGGATTGCCTGCTCTTCTTATCTCAGCTGCTTCCAAAGAGAGGGAAACAGGGATGTAAGGGAGGTTTTTGTGTGTGTGTGTTTTTCATAAACATCTAGTGGAATAAGCAAATTTTCTTGGGAGAAGGGCATGGGGGGAGGGGGAAGAGAGAAATAAAAGGCTAATGGGGGTTTACCTTTTTGGAAGGGGCCACAGAGGTAGAGTGAGGGGGGACGAGTTCAGTTGTTGAGCTTAAAGATTATATTCATCTTCTTATCTCAAAATGTTTCAGAATATTATTAATGGAATTTTACTAATATCAGTTATCCACATACATCTCAATCCCCGGTGCCCTGAACACATTTTAGTACTCTTTCTACAAAATGATAAGTCAAACTGGCTTAAGCATAAAGGGAATTTATTGACTGTAATATCTGGAAAGTCCAAGGGTAAGGTAGCTTCAGGCATGACTGTTCACTCAGTATTGCTAGGAGGTGCCTCTTTTTATCTTTCTTTGTAGATTTTCCTCTGTAGAAATTTCCTTCATGTAGACTTCATGCTCATATAGCCTTTTACCTATGGTGGCCCTCCATAGCTCTTAAGATTAGCATTACAGCTCAAAGACAATGGAAAGAAAATTTCTTTTCCCCAACAGTTCTAGTGAGAATCAGGGGCCTAATCTTCGTTGGCCCAAATTGAGTCATGTGCCCATTCCTGAGCCAATCACTGGGCTGAGGAGGACAGCTATCCTAATTAGCTCTGAAATTCATCCTCTGAAATCCTGGAACTGGGTGGAAAAAGAGGGATAATCAGCCCCATCTAAACTAAAGACTAAGAGTTGGGGCACAAACGAGCCTTCAAAGAAAATTCTAAGTCTTGCTACTATAAGAAGTGGGGAGGAACAACAAGCAAGCAAAAACAACATATGTTCACGCCAAAAGTTAAATCTGAAAGCACATCCATTTTCAGTACAGCAACGGAGTCTCCTTTACACAGGAAGCTCAGCACGATTTATTTGGCCAGGACACAAATCAAATAAACACTTTCCAGAGCGAGTGTCTGATTACATCCTACCTGGCTCATGAAAGAGGCCAGTCCAGGTAAGATGGAGCAAACCTTTATTTCCTTGGACTAGATCAGTTACAAGCACTATTTTCTGAGTCCTCCCATCCCTGTTCAAAAGACTATAACTTTTATATTTATCTCTTTTCTACATTATGTACCTCTCAACTCTACCCTAATGAATACATGTCCCTCCCCCAAGAAATTACTGTATTCATTTTCTACTGGAGAGCTTTTTACCTATGTATTCCAGCTAGGTATAGTTCTTAACCCCTTTACACAGGCAAAGCCAATCCTAAAACTAATGTGATATCTCAGCGTTTGATTTGGGTCTTGGAGCTGGTGTCATGTCACAAACCTGAACAATTCTAATAATCTAGAATGAAGAAGAGAGAGGACAAAGTTAGTTGACTTCTCCACCTCTAGATGACACCTCACCTTGGTTTCATATTTAGCTACTCAAGGCACTTAAGCTCTATAAATAAGTGCAATTGTCATTAGGTTCAAATACACAAGTTCTGACACATTCAATATTGTTCAAATCAAATAAAAACTACTACTACAGAAATGAAGAGTGTTACAGATACCCTTAGAGTGTATATCTTTAGGATTCATGGGCTACTTGACAAAAATGTTCCGTGTTATACTCTGAAAGATAGAACCCATTTACACCATATACTGATGAGGTCGTAAATGAAGTCTGTATCAGTAAAATGCTATTGCCGGCATGTTATATTAAAATGAGAAGAGAGCTGTCTTAGCCTGGGTTTCCCCAAAAGCAGAGCTTATATGCAACAGTTTTATTAGTGATAGTAGCCCCCAAGGAAACAAGAGTGGAGGAGAAAGAGAATGAGGCAGAAGAGGAAAGAGAGTAAACACAAGGATGCATTGCTGACCTGGCCACACTGAACACAACCGAGTACTCAGTTGTACACGACCATCTTTTAAAAAGCCAGATGGGGGGGGCCGGCCGAGTGGCGCAATGGTTAAAAACTGGCTTGGGACGCCAGAGGGCTGCGGTTCAGATCCCACATATGAGGGCCAGTGACACTGCCCTCTACAGCTAAGATGCTGAACAACAGCTCAACCTGGAGCTGGGCTGCCGTGAGTCG